CCTTATTCTTCTGGGTTTATTTAATAATAATTTAAATAATTAAATGACACATGCTTGGGCTTATTGTATGCCTTTGCCTGAGCCTGCTTTACTCGTAACAGGCTTGTCTTGCTTTTTTTTTTTTTTTTTGGTAGGAATTTGGGCATCATGAGGTTTGTATAAATCCGTCGTTCGTCTAGTCAGACCTTATACCAAGAATGAAAAAACAAAACTTCCGACCTGCCGGATTCGAACCAGCGACCTAAGGATGTCTGAGAAACCACTACAGTCCTCCGCTCTGCCAACTGAGCTAAGGTCGGATGGTGTTTGTGGCGTCGCTTCGTTATTTTATATCTATTTGTTTGTTCTTTTATTCCTCCACAATATTATCTCTTTACAGATGCGGGGTTTGTGATTTGAGGATACAGATTAATTACTACTTCCATTCTTTTAATCTCAGATAACTCCAAGGTCAACAAAAAAAAAACTCAACCCCTTTATTAAAACAATTAGATGAATTCGTTTGTTATAATAAATATGATTTGATTTTTTTAAAATACTCATATGCAACATTAAATTATATTCTCTCTGATCTTATTTATAAGCTTCAAATTCAGGAAGAGCTGTGATCCATTTTATAAACTTCAATTTAATGTTGTCTTGACATTTAATACATTTTTTTTATTTTGTCCTTAACCATTTATTCTCTCTCTTTTGTCATGCTCTCTCCTGTCATCTTTTCTAATACATTCTCTTTCATCATTCATCTCATTTATTACAATGACATATTTGAAAATAAATTATATTTCTAACCTACTTATTACTTTTAACTAATAGCTCGTTATTTGAAACTTATAATTAGTACATGTAGTATACACTTCTTTCTAAAGTATGGGAATTGATTCAAAGGTTGAATTCTGTGGTAAATATACTAATTTGTTATGTCTTCCATTTTATTATTTTTTAAAACTCATTTGCCTAACTCATATTAAGACAAAAAAATAATTAAGGATAATATAGAAAAAATACACTAAATGTTAAGACAAATCAAACTTAAAATTTATAAAACGAATCATTTCTCTTTTTAGATTTAAAACTTATAAATAGGATCGAAAATAGTATCTCCTTAATTTTTTGGCCCACCCCATAATTTACAATTTTGTTTTTGTTTTTCTCTGTAGGTTTAATCTGAGTTTTCTTTTGATTCATAGAGTCTTATCATGCTATGAGATGATATTCTACGACTTAAGAATGATCCGTTCATTTGTCTCGTGAGCATGTTCATTTATAAGAAAATGAGATCAATCAACCAATTCACGTCAATAAATCAATATTAATACAAACAGTATAATTTTTTATAAAATGTGCGCTGTTATTTTTTATTTTTTTATTTTTAAGTTTTGGTTAGAAAGACTCTGTGTACGAGGACAAACAACCCTTGCGCTGGAAACATACGAGAAAAATGCCGCAGTGGACAAAATTCTCTTTGTTTCGCTTTAAAATTATGCTGGTCTAACTCATTATGGCAGGGATGCGTTGTGCCGTGTGCGCGCTAATCGATCAGGCCTGTCTGGCTAGAACACTGGCTGCCCCTGCTTGTTTCCCCTTGATAACGGAAAGTGAGAGTAATTTGACTGTGTTAAACGCGTAGCCGGGTCATGATTTACCCGCCTCGCCATGGAAGGAGCGTGAATGTCACATTTATTGCGTACCCCTTCACATGCATCCATGAATTGTTGCATACATTGAATCCCGACTCCAAAATTACCTTGTGAATATTTTCTTTTACGAATTCCAAAATATGACAGGACATACTGTTAAATAATAATATTACTTCTGATTTTAAATATAATACTCCTCCGATCCTAATTATAAGACCCAATTGACTTATTTGAGGAGATTAAGGAAGTAAGTTAAGTTGGTTATTTATAATAAATAAGTGTTGTCATTCCTAAAATATCCTTGCTAATTAGTATATTGGCTAAAACTATCATTATTAGAAGGATTATCTTGGAAAAAAATGCATAAATATAATAGACAAAATGGATTAGGGTCTTATAATTAGGACCAAATAAAAAGTCAAATGGGGTCTTATAATAAGGACCGGAGGAGTACTTTATTTATAGATTACAAATGAGATCTTATAATTATAAGTGAGATTGTAGATTAGAAATATTTCAGTCAATTTTTTTTTTCAAGAAAAATGCCTTGATGGATACGTGGCACTGCATCACTTGCCCGTTCAATCGGAGATGAAAGTGTGAAGAAACGAAATCTTTAAAAGTAAATGTCTTAGAATTTCACGGCATGTGTAAGCCTGCCCTTTAACTTAAAAAAAAAAAGAAATTAAAAATAGAAGAACGCCGAGACAACAAAAAAATAGTAAAAGACACTACTAAAAATATCCAAGCACGCTTAAAAAAAAATGTCCAAGCTCGATATCCTTAAGTATTTTAAACACTTGACTAGAGGCACGCGTCGCTGCCTATGAATTTTATTTTGAAAAAATCCCAAAAAAAGCCTTTGAAATTTACCAAATCCCAGATTGGGTTCTTAAATTTCAAAAATAACAGAATGGGTCATTGACCCAATCTGTCATTTGTGAAATTCAGGCGAATTGACATTTTTGCCCCTGAGCAAAAGTGAGTAGTTATTCTCTAAACAAATCTAGGTAACGCTTACACTATTTTAGTGATTACAAGATTCGTTGTAGTTAATAATAAGGTACCTGACAATAATAAGATACCTGACTATGAAAAAATAAATAGTTATTCTCTACACAAATCTAGGTAATGCTTACATTGTTCTAGTGATTACAGAATTAGTTGTAGTTAATAACAAGACACCTGACTATGAAAAAGTGAGTAGTTATTCGCTACACGAATCTAGGTAACACCTAAACTCTTATAATGATTCCTTGAATCATTGTAGTGAATGAATAAATGAGGGCAAAATTGTCAATTCGCCTGAATTTCACAAATAACAGATTGGGTCAATGACCCATTCTGTCATTTTCGAAATTTAAGGACCCAATCTGGCATTTCCCATATTTCAAGGACCTTTTTTGGAATTTTCCCTTTTATTTTTATAATTAAGCTAATAAATTATTTATTAAAATGTTGACAACAAAATCAGGAACTGAAAGATGCTGTGCTCCATTTAACATATACTCTTAACAATTTTTTTGGGACTGAGCCGCTCATTAGAAAAGTCAATTTATAAGGAAGATAATTGGCTAATCATTACAAAATCACAGTTGCATTACGGTTAAGCAAATGTGGGAGGCGACTTCATAAATCTAATCATGCGCTTAACAGGCAAAGTGCGGCGCCGCAGTGACCTTTACAGTTAGTATCACAGTCTCTGTTTTTTCGCCCCTCAATTATGACTGTCATCTTCGATGATTTATGATCTTCTGCGATTCTTGGAGCTGCTATTTTGATCACGGGAGAAGCGCGCTTTCGCAGTGTCGGAGCAGAGCAATTTTTTAGTCGCTGGAACAAATGATTCTGGATGAGAAAAAAAAATAATTAAAGGTATCAACTTGAAAAATAATCTGAGTAATGGCATTTTAAAAATTAAAAACAATTGAGCATCAAATTGACGGGAGGGCCGACCCTTACAGCGGAGAACTAAGGTGGTGGTGGGGAAGCCGAAGAGGATTGGTCCCCCCACCCACCTGCCCAAGAAAAATGGTCCACATGGTGGTAAATTTGGGATATTGAGAGAGAGGGACGGAGGATGAAGGCGACTAAAATAATGGGGGAAACGGTAGGTGCAGAGATCTAGAGACTTGAGCAGCGATGAAAATGGAATAAAGCTTGAGCTTCAAGGCTTTTCTATGACTCCCTCATGACCCGGAATTGTTCACACAACTATATACTTTTATAGGAGGCGCCTACTCTTATTTTTGCAGGAATGTCAGAAGGACTGAAGGAGGTGAGTGTTGGTGCTTTGCTGGTTTAAACTTTAAACAGCAGGTTAATTTCTATTTTTCTGATTCTTTTCCTCTCAATATCTCTCTCTGACTCATAGTCCGTCCATGCATTTTTATTTTTTATATGCCATTCCTCTGTCTTTATATGCCTTGTTGCTTCTCATACACTTCGAGCTTTGTCTTCGTATCCTCTCCCGTGTCGAGAACTGCATTACTTGTGTGCCAATTTACTACTACTGTACGACCCTCTTTACAAGGGACTTGTCTGTCTCTATTGTTTTTGTCCTCTTGCTGATGCAAGAATATGGTCTGTTTGGTCTCCTCTCACTCTCACCGCCCATTATGGCCCTCTTACGTCTCTCTCTTCCTTGAATCTTTTGATACAGGTTTCAAAAAGTAAGGTACTCTTGATTTGAAGCGGGTTTTGGGTTTTCCTTAATTGCTTTAGTTATGGAAGTTTGCTCTGTACTTGAAGTGGATGTAAATGGACAAGAAACCTTCCTGGTGGACAAGGTAAGCCTCTTCTCCAAAACTTCGTTTTTAAAATCTGCCTTTGGCTCCACTTTGAAATTGTATTTCCCCTTTTGCCGAAATTGCCTTTTTATCAAGACAATCTGGTTTCCTTCATCTGGTCGTTTGTCCTCTAATGTAAAGATATAGATCTTTTTCCTTTCTCTCTCGTTTGTTTGGGATCTACAGTAAACGCACACAGGGTTCAACTTTCTCAATCTTTTGTTTGAAGGTTTCTCTTGGTCCTGAATGTTGCAACTTAACTCTTAAAAGTTAAAAATCATTACTGTCCAATGATTTACTACCTGTCTTTTTTCTGCAAATTTTCATCCCATGTTTTCTAGTTATCCTTGGTAATTTCACGTCCTACTTTTCCACTCATCATTAATTGGCACCTACATTGCAGAGAGGTAGGAGGTGGGGTATGGGTCCAGTAACTGCTGTTTTATCATTTCTCTGGCCATAGAAATTATCATCATCCCAAGCCCAACCCCAAGCACAAGGCACTTTATGTTCTTTATTTTTTTGGTTCTCTTTTTTGTTTTGGGTGCACATCATATTAATTGCTACTGCCATGGTTTGCTGGGGTCCTGGGGATTTAATGGTTTTAGAGCTTTTGATTGTTTTATTCACGTATTTTAAGAGGGGCCAAGGGTTGCTTTCAAGGAAATTTCTTTGTCTGCTCCACCATTCTATGCGAGAAACTTCGATAGTGATCCTTCCTGCTTGCCATAATGTATAATTTAACGACCTCCCTATCACCACATTAATTCTTTTGGTGATTAAAGACCTTTAGTTGTGGACTTTCTTTTCATTGTCTCCTTTTCATATTTTCTCCTCGTTTCTTTTCTCATTTGTGCGCTTTTCCATTGATTCCATGTTTTTGGTGGGTTATTTTGACATTGATCCTATTTTTTTGGCATCGCGTACATTTTTGTCCCTTCAGGTGTAACTCTGTTTTTCAATGGGTCTAATTTGCAGGATATCGTTGCTCAGTATTCGGGTAAATTATCGAAACTATTTGGCAAATCTAGTAGCGGCAGCACCAGAAAGCTTAAAGTAATATTCCATGACTTTCCAGGAGGTGCAGAAGGTTTTGAGCTCATGTTAAGATTCTGTTATGGTAACGGAAAAACTGACATAACTCCTTCCAATTTGGTCCTCGCTCATTGTGCTGCTGAATTCATGGAAATGAAAGAATCTGTGGCTGGGCTTTCTAATTTATCGGCGCAAACTGAAAAATTGCTCCCGGAGACTAGCTATTGGACATGGTCGGACCTTTTGATTGCCTTGAAGCAGTGCCAGAATATAGAGTCAGTCTCAGATTCTTCATCGATGCTAGGAAAATGTTTGGATTCACTTGTTGGGAGGCTGGTTTTAGGCTGTGAAGCAAGTCCATGTCCATCTACTTGTTCTCCAGACAGTTCTGGGCTTCGGTTTTCATGCGACTCTAAAAGCACTGAGAGTATCAAGACAAATTTCTCTCATTCAACATGGTGGTTTGATGATCTAGTATTTTTGAGTCCCCCGAACATTGAAAAGTTGGTGCAATCAATGCTTGTAAGAAAATTGGACCAAGTTGTGATAAGTAGGTTTCTGTTGTTCTATCAAAAGCCAAGTTTTCGACTGCTGCAACTGAGGCAAAGCGTAAAATTATACGATGTGAATCTCATTCTGAGATTTTTGAAAGCGTTCCTAGGACAAGGGAAAACCAGTCTGATAACTCCTATTCGAATGAAGAAAGTTGCCATCTTGGTAGATTTGTATATAGCAGAAATAGCCCCTGATCCTTGTTTGAAACCTTCCAAGTTCATGGCACTTGCCACCGCACTGCCTGATTATGCGAGAGATTCATATGACGAACTCTACCATGCAATGGACATGTATCTAAAGGTATACAATTTTATTTTATCTTTGTTCTTTATTAATCCTTCAAAGTTCGTTTGGAATTTGGAGTTTCTAATTCCTGTCATATCGTTAGCTATCTGATTAGGTGAGGGACTCGGATCGTTTTCTATTCTTCCCCTGACATGCTAAAGTAACATCTTAGTAATAACCAGAAGTTGTTGGCTGAACCTCGTTAGAAGTTGAATCTAGTTGAACACTTGAACTAAATGAGTTGTATTATAGGTTCACGCTGGATTGTGTGAAGAAGAGAGGGTGAAGATAAGTTGTGGTTTAATTATGAGAAGCTTTCAGCTGAGGCTTGCCTACACCTTTCTCGGAACACGAATTTTCCTTCAAATTCTGCTGTTCAAGCTCTCATATCTCAGCAATCCAAGCTCAGTAACTTGCTCCAGGGTACTCCAACTACTCCAGTCAAGTTCTTCTTTCACGATTCGCCTGGTAGTTCCAGTGATGCTGGTAAAAAGGGAAGGAAAGGCAAAACCAGCGAGCAGGTTGTGCTGTATTCTGGGAAATTTGATGTTTCAGCTGATAATGAGAACCTCAGAGCACATTTGCAAGGAATGCAATGGAGAGTTATGGAACTGGAGAAATCTGTAAGAAGATGCAAACCCAGATGGCAAAAATATCAAAATCAAGAGCATCCGGGAACAGTTTACGCACTATCCTTGCCCAAGCTCTGTTCGTGACAGAGATTTTGGGGATCGAATTGTTCTTCTAACTCAAAATATGCAATTTGTACAGCAGAGAAATGAAGTTTGTGTGTTGTTGATGCATCTTTCCTGCCTCAACTGAAGTCGTTTGAGTATATAATCATGTTTACGTGGAGAATCTCTCCTGATTGTACAGCCATGAAATAAGAGCTCATATTAGCACCAGTTAATTCTCAATCAATACATTATCCGTATCCCAGCGCCTCTTATTCCCGCTAAGTTTGAACAATTAAAAATAAGCACGAATAGATAACTCTCACACGGGTAAAGTCTATTTTTCGGATGCATTTGACGGGTTCAAATTCTGAATGTTTGTCCCTCTGTTCAACGCGGTCTTTTGAATAGGTCACTCTTGACTTAAAGCTTCCAGATGGATCCAGCCATGAGTGAAGTGATAAAATTATGGTTAGTTTGCTTACCACGAGATAAGACGCGCAGTAGTTAGATTCATACTCCCGAGACAGACATCAATATCAAGTACTATTTTTAATTTTTAATATAAAAACTCATTTGATTTTTATTTGGTCCTTAATATAAGATTTCAATTCATTTTATTAAGTTTGAACAATTAAAAATAAGCACGAATAGATAACTCTCACACGGGTAAAGTCTATTTTTCGGATGCATTTGACGGGTTCAAATTCTGAATGTTTGTCCCTCTGTTCAACGCGGTCTTTTGAATAGGTCACTCTTGACTTAAAGCTTCCAGATGGATCCAGCCATGAGTGAAGTGATAAAATTATGGTTAGTTTGCTTACCACGAGATAAGACGCGCAGTAGTTAGATTCATACTCTCGAGACAGACATCAATATCAAGTACTATTTTTAATTTTTAATATAAAAACTCATTTGATTTTTATTTTGGTTCTTAATATAAGATTTTAATTTATTTTATCTTTCCTATTTATCTATTTTCCTCAAAGTTTACAATAATAGTAGTTTTAACTAATACATTTCATTAATAAGAATATTTTAAGAAAAAAAAACCTATTTATTAAAAATAATTAATTTAACTAGCTTTTTTAATTTACTCAAATTAATCAACTAACTTTTATATGAAAGGCCTGTATATAGGGTCCGATTTGAAACGGTTATAAGTAGCTTTTTAATAATAATTTACGGAATACGAGACAAGCATGTGAAAAGAGTTTTATCTCAGTTTTCATAAAATGTGCTTATACGAGATTTTTACCGTTCTCCTAAGTTCTCCTAAACAGGCACATAATATAGCAAGATAGGATCACAAAAGAATCACCAACCTCCACTGCTGAGATTTTGCCCCATTGACGACTTCAATATAATAAACAGTTGCATGTTTTTACAGTACATAAACTGGCTCTGAATACTAGTTGCTCGTTCGGATTAAGGATTTGCAGAAGTTGACTCAGATTCCGAACCGCTTGACGAGAAGATGAGCTGTCCTTGGAAGACCTAAGAAGCTAATAGTGAAAAATGTCAGTAAAAGCGAACTCTAGCGTCAAGAGGCACATAAATTTGTAAAGACCAAGAGGGTGAAGTTGCCCCTCAACTCGGTTGCACGAAGCATTGTCTAGAAAAGATGCTTTTGACAACTGATTGAAACTGATTGTTTGGTTTCCCTTAGACTGACGGATAATCGCACAGCACATGCTGCCGTGGGGCTAAGCATGGAAGCAGCCGCAATCATAATAAATGCAGGGGAGCTGTGGTGAATGTTTGCTTCCCTTTCTTGCAGGTTTTGAGAAGAAATGTATTTTATAGCTTCTAAAGCTAAAGATATACCTTCAATAATTTAGCTCTTTATAATCTTAGAAAGAATACACTATTAGTTTAGTTCCTAACGATTAAGGCTAAAAGTATGCATACAGTGTTTAATACTATAAACGACCATAGAGGCCTCCGCCTAGGGAGGACTAGATCCAGACTGTGTGTGTGTGTGTATTATATTAATAAAGAGCAGATAAAAAAAAGGATATAGAGGAAATACACGTATATACACATATATACATATAAAGCATTTCAACTTAATAATGAAAATGTGCATGCCCAGACCCAGCTTTAGATTTTGTTTTCAGATAATATTTAGTGAGTTCGGATTGAATTGTTGACTTGCTTGTTAAGGACTTGCCTGATGTATCAATCAACTGATTAGTTTGAAGTTTTAATAGAAGCGTGACGTTTCACCAATTACAAGAAGTCTCGAGTAAGAAGGTAAACAAGATTATCGTCCGCTTCCCATTAATCCATTCTAAAGAAACAAATCCGCTTTTAATTAGAGATCCCCTGTAGCTTTGTCCTTTCAGCTGTGCCTACCTAAGTACCCCACATGTGACATATCTGACGTTCTCTTTTGTAAAAGACTTGTTTTTCTAAGCAAAAGTACGAATAACCATGCTAATTGCTAAATATATATTCCTCCGATCCTTAATTTAGGACCTAATTATTGAGTTAGTTTTAGTTTTAGATATAAGACTCATTTCTCATATTTATTAATTTTCTCTAAATTACCTCTATAAATACTCCATCAACCATAATCAAGTAGAAGAGGAAGATGAGGTATTAAAAAAAGTGATTATGGTATTTTAGGAAAAACGTGTCACATTTCTTATAATTAACTAACTTATTTAACTTCTTTAATATAATCAAATTAGTTAAATAGGTCTTATATTAAGGATAAGAGGAGTATCTCTTTTTTTTTTTACCAGAGGCTGAAGGGAAAACCACCTAACGCGGGTGGTACTCAAACAGCTCGAATGTCCTACTTTATATTTGATTATTCATACTAGGAGAACTTTTACGTTGCATATAAAATTAAACATACATGGCAATGAGGAATTTTAACAAATTAGATCATAAGCATACATATCAAGGATTCAAATCCTCTCAGAATCTCTTCTCCACCCTTACATTAAAAAAAATAGACGATTTACGTGTAATATCTTATAAAATATTATTAAGATATTTTTAAAATGCAAATAAATAAATTTAAATTTTAAAATTTAATCTCGACAGTTCACATCTGCAGTATAAAAAAAATTAATACATGAAATACTACATCTGAATCATTAAAAGATATGGAAGAAGAAGAAGAAGCAAAAAGATTGTAAGAGGAAGCTCATACCACATGTTGAGCTGTTTTCAGTTATGACGAGTTATGCCCAAATCATTCGTTCTTTGGTCCGCGAGACCACACCTGACACCTGAGCCAACGGAGAAGGGACTTTTTTTTTTTGGTATTGCCAAGAAGGGATTCTAATTATATGAATTGATTCACTTATCACTAAGGGCTATAAACGCATCCATGGTTAGTTTTTTTTTAATACGAAAGAGGGCCAGGCCCAAGAAAGCAAAAACATTAACTAGTGGGGCAAATTAGTCCCATACTATCCGGTATCATACTCGTCCTAAGATGCTGCGGACAATAATCGAAGGTTTCAGACTTTGACAATCCCAACTTAGCCATCGCATCCGCCAAATGGTCCTGCTGTCGTGATATGCCCTGAATCTGTAGACTCCAGTCAAGGCCCAGCATGCTTCGAATCTGAAGTAAGACCAAACTTTCGGAAGGCGAGAGACTTTGAGTATATATTCTATCAATTGATGTCTGAGAATCAGATTCTAAAATGACTTTTTTTAATCCCCTTTCCCAAGCAAATTTAAGTCCCTTTAGTATAGCCCACTCCTCTGCCTCCTGAGCACTGCAACAGTCTAGATAATGGGAGAATCCAGCTATCCAATGACCCCTATGATCCCTTATGACGCCTCCACAAGCAGCTCTCCCTGTGTATCGGACTACTGCCCCATCCACATAAACTTTGAGCCAATCCAAGAGGTGGGGTTAGGGGTGTTTTTTTTATTGTTACTGTTGTTGTGGGTAAAAGTAATGGGCTTTCTATCCCACTATGGGCTACAACCACATCCATGGGCTTTAAAACCAAGCCTCTTGTCTTGAATCCGCCTCTGCTCTCTGATCTCACTCACCCAATCTATATTTTCGGCCCAATAGAATATCCAGTACTTGACTGGTCTATAAAGAGATTTAGAGCAACCCTGCTCAAAAGCCCGTATCTAGAATTTCGTTGGAAGGCGCTGGGAAAACAAAGATGAAGAAATCGAGTTCGTTGCAAACTGAGGTCAGGTGGATTGCAATTTCGTTGCAAACTGATGTCAGGTGGATGGCAAAGTTGTTTGCTAATTGTGGTCTAAAAGCTATAAGAAAATTATTCTCTATCCTAATTGTATAAAGGCTGTTGGCCTTGTGCCTTTCTGACGAAAGGGTTGTGATACTAATTACCCAGTTTGGAGACATTACCGATTACTTAGATCTTCCTACTCCTACGTTATGGAGGCAAATTAGATATTGTTTGTTTTGGCCAGGATTCCTCCGTGTGTGTGTGTGTTGGGGGGGAGAGAGAGGGAGAGAGAGAGGCGGCTCGATCTAACTCGGGACTCTTGCATCTTGCTTTTCGTTTGTATTAATATTCAATACAATAGAATCTTTTTTCCTATTATTTTATTTATGGGTTGCCTAATATTAATATTTAAACTCTGAGTCGAGTGGAGGTGACGAGCACTAAGCATCTCATCAGTACCTACTCTCAGTTTTTTTAAACACCTCACGTGCCTCCCTAATCCCTATTAACATCAACATGTTTTGCATTATTATCCACATGCGCGCATTGTGACTGTGCACGGAACAGGCGAGAGAAATCGTAGATTTTGATGAGTTAATTTCCCAAACATCAGTATATATAGCCATTAAGAAAATCCCGGCCAAAGAAAACTTAAAATTGCAACTTTTTTTAAGTGAATTTATTACCACCTCTCGTTCTTAATATAATAGCTAACTAACTAATTTTTGTATATAAAAATTTTTTGTTAAGTTAGTTATTTGTAATAAATAGGTATTATCTTTTTCAAAATATCTTTACTAATTATGTGTATTAGCTAAAACTGTTATTTGATGAAATATTTAATATGTGCAACTAATATAATGATAACTTTTAAAAAAAATAGATAACTATTAAAAATAAAATAAATGAAGATTTTATATTTAAAATTAAAATGAACAAGAAACTAGTTTTCGTATTAAATACAAGGGATTAAATACTTCCATAAACACAGCGGCATGCTGTACACTGTGGTATGACTTTCTCGACTCTATTCCCTATCAGGAGATCCTTTTTCATCGGATGCCACTCTCTGCAACTCCAGCTGCATGCTTATTCAATTCATTCATTCATGTCTCCCTGTGATGGGATTTAATGCCCACCTTGCTTTCACCCTCAAATATTGATCTCCAAAAGCTGTCCGATCCCGCTCTTAATGAATTGTCTTCGTATCCGATGAATAACAAGTTACCATCTACATACCCACTCGATATTTAAAAAAAAAAAAAAAAAGGCACGCCCTGCATCTTAAACTACGTTCAGTACATAAGGTTGATCATGGAATCTTATGGTGGCAACGCTAAAATTGATTAGATGACTCTTTTAATTTACTAAAATAGTCCGTTGCCTCTGAAGTTGGCATTGCTTGGTTAGGACTTGGGAGCAATGAGGCTTCTTCTGGCCACCACCTTCCCCGCTTTGAATTAAATAAACTGCACCAAGTAACCATTAATGCGTTTTTGGATTGAAACTGCGATAGCAGAATAACTGAGGAGGGGCCTTCTCTCAGATGTCAATCAACAACGGAGGTGGCTCCTCTTAGACGTCAATCACACCTCACTTTGTTTAAATTTTTTCACTTTTCTGACAGGTTAGGTGTACTGACATGCCCCACCAAAATATCTAAATCTGAGGGGGCAAGGCAAAGGGGTTCCCGCATTTTTACAGCCCACACTGTAAGAAACTCTTACGAAAAAAGGAGACAGTAAAGTGTCTAGTTTCCTGCTTCTTTCCTTTCTTCATGGATTTGGGCGCCCCACTACTTCCGTCTATTGACCAAAAGAAATAAAAACCATAGCTGAAGGGTTTACATGAAGACGGGGTGGGGATAGGGGACAAGATTTGAGTATAACATAGAAACCAAAACAAGGCTTCCTGAATCCCCAAATATGCTAACCCCCACTCGCCCATTCTTCCCTTTGAGATCTCATCCAATGTTCCTTTCTATTAGAAAAATGTTCTCTGCTTCGGTATTCTGTTCCATTCCCCCGACATCCACACAGATATTCGCGCGTCCTTCCATTTTAGAAAAATACTTCCCCAACCAAATAAAAAACTTATTCCCCTTTGCGAGACCCTTTACTCTTTCAATGTCATTTATAAATATTATTCTTCTTATCCTGAATATAATACTTATTTTATAGTGTATATAGAGGTTTTATATTTAGAATAGGAGGAGGAGTACAATTTTTATAACTTTAATATTATCTACAAGATATCTAATACAACCACCATAAATATATAAACGAATCCTATCCATGGTTTCAAAGTTGTGCTCATTGCTTTGTTCGGATATTGTATATTGACACAATGCGCATATGCTTTTCAATGTTATAAACAATCTTTTTTCATTTTGTTTTTTGACCTTGAAAATCTTTTTTTTCATTCTCATTTATCTTGTTTTCTTCTGCTATTATGTTATCATATTTATATTATGCGGTGCAAGTACTAAAAGTGGTGAAAGTTTTGCATCCCATTTACTGTGAGGAGGGAAGGGGGCATTGCCATGGTCTGGGAAAGTGGGGCCTGGTGGTAGTAGAGTCCAGCTGGAAATGCTGTGATGAAAGCACCTAAAATCATGAAAGAGAAAGGGTTAGGAACCTCTCACGCCCCCCACCTCAGTCCTCACCCTCCATCATATGACCTAAAAGCATTCAGGGCCTTCGGATCTGCTTAACAATTAACATATCCCTCTTTTCTGTGGAATCAAAACGCCTTGGAAGAAAAAGCTGCGCCCTTTTTTAAAAATTCACTCATGTACTCACAGCTGGACACTCAAACCTTCCAGCTGTATTCCTCCACATGTCCTTCTTTTATTCGTTGCAATCGGCCCTCTGCCCCCACCACTCCACCACTGACCCTCTGACACTTCACAGCTTTCGCCAGCTATCTGTGGTCACCCCCACCAACGGCTAATTCTTTCTCATTCCTCGGAATTTGTTGTCCCTCGTGGCTGATGACGTGGCTTCTCGGATCGGCCCTTCTCAGACAAGCCTCTTATTTGAAAATATTGCTTACTGCCTATAAAACCCCACACTCTCTGCTCCCACTCTCACGCCCTCACAGCAGAAGCTTCCCCATTCGCCTGTTCTCCTCTCCTCCTTCCTTCTGCATTCACTGCCATCATGTCTAGAATGTCTGGTTTTCTGGGGTTTTTTGTGGGTCTGATGTTGGTGGGGTTGGCTTCCTCCGCCAAGTTTGAGCAACTTTTCCAGCCAAGCTGGGCTTTAGACCATTTCATGTATGAAGGAGAACTCGTCAAGCTCAAACTTGACAACTATTCCGGTAATTTTCCACTCCTTCCCTTTTGATTCCTGGACGAAATAATTAATAAGAAGAAACTCACCTCTATTCCGAGGCTAGATGCCTTGAACACTGCAATACAAATCATCCCTGAATGCCGAAGAGTGTGTGCGCGGTTTCTTCTTCTTCTTCTTTTTTTTTCCCCAGAAAATTGTTGTCCTGGATCGATATCGATAATGACATTGGGCTCACAGGAACACCCATAATAATCTTAGTTTGAACGTTTCAGGTGCTGGTTTTGCATCTAAAAGCAAGTATATGTTTGGGAGAGTGAGCATTCAGCTCAAGCTTGTGGAGGGTGACTCTGCTGGGACTGTGACTGCTTTCTATGTAAGTGGATACTGCAACTTCTCTTTTCTCAAGGGAGAACAAAGCTAGCTTACTCTTTTATTAGGGGCTGTTGGGATTATTGCTCCCGAACTACCCCGTGCATTGATTGTCCCTGCTCCTAAACAAATTAATTAAATTGTTTACGTACTATTCAGCTTCATGCACTGAACATTTTCAAGGAACAGACAAATTAAGAACTTGGGTTTATTCTAGACAAGCGGGACACCGCTGCCTACTCGTTTTAACCCGTGAATGACTTTATATCCAATTACATCAAGCATTTATTAGTGTGGTCAACACGGTTCTCGATTGGACATCTGTTCGAATTTGATGGAAGCTCTTCGTTTTCAATCTGATTAAATATGTGGTTGTCCGTTTATGATTCCGATAATTAATTTGAAGAATAAACCTTTATCTGTCCATAACCTTAGTGGCTGGATAACTGACCCAGCACTGACCTATTCGGTTGATGCAGATGTCATCGGAGGGTCCAAATCACAATGAATTTGATTTCGAGTTCTTGGGCAACACCACGGGTGAACCATACTCAGTCCAGACCAACGTGTACGTAAATGGAGTGGGCAATAGGGAGCAGAGACTTAACCTCTGGTTCGACCCCAGCAAGGATTTCCATGCATACTCTATCTTCTGGAATCAGCGCCAAGTTGTGTAAGCACCAAGAACTCAATCTCTGTTTTGCATTCTAGTTTGCTAGGCACCGTTGCCGGTGTTCCATAATTAAAATCAAAAGTACAGAATGAATGAAAAGAGAAAAGAGGGCTGTCTTCACATGGATATGTAGCAGAGAGCCCTTTATAATAATTGGTGTTTGAGCTATGATATGGCTTGTGTCGTTGTGTCCCCATCGGGTCACATAACAACAGGCTCTGTTGAAAGAAGAAGGAATACAAGACATTTTGAGCCAATACCACTGATGGGAACATCGCAGAGAAACGGGGATAGAGACAGAGACGTCTATTTCCTTTGTTTCTGGCAATTTCTCTGGAGATGCTTACCTTTTACTAGTATTCTTATTACCATTATCATTATTCTATTTCTAATATTTCGTATAATATGATATGCTGTAATCAGATTCTTAGTGGACGACACCCCAATAAGAGTGCACACAAACTTGGAACACAAAGGCATTCCATTCCCGAAGGACCAAGCGATGGGAATTTACAGCTCAATATGGAACGCAGACGATTGGGCAACTCAGGGTGGTCGAGTGAAGACTGATTGGAGCCACGCACCGTTCGTGGCGACGTACAAGGGATTCGAAATCAATGCGTGCGAGTGTCCGGGGACGGTGGCGACGGCGGATAATGCAAAGAGGTGCAGTAGCAGCGAGGATAAGAAGTATTGGTGGGACGAGCCGACGATGTCGGAGCTTAATGTGCACCAGAGCCATCAGCTGAAGTGGGTTAAGGCCAAGCATATGGTGTATGACTATTGCTCTGACACCGCCAGGTTCCCAGCCATTCCCGCCGAGTGTGTCCATCACCGTCACTATCGCCCACGCCACTGATGAAATCAAATCACCCCTGTCTTTTCCAACATGTTCTTCATGTTGCTATGTATTATATTTTCCTGCTATTTTGTGAATGTAAGTTATTTGTTCTGTGGTTTCCTGTCCAATCAATCCACTTTATTCGTAAATTTTGCTCTCTCTCGCTCTATCTCACATTTGCTATCGCTTACTGTGTGTGTGCGGGTTCCACTATCAAACATGCCTCGGAATGGGAATTGAGGGGCGCCACTCGCTCACGGGGTTGCCTTGGGGACCAGGAAGAGCAAAAATATCGTTTGGTGGTACGAAATTTTAGATAAATGACTGGGGGAAAAAGCCCCGATTGAAACATATGAACTCGGGAATATAGAATAGATCATTGCTTTGGATAAGTAATGTTATTTAGTATTATTAACAAAAAAAAAACAGCATATGAACTCGGGAATATATATTACTGTGCGTGCGCTCATTTGTCAATAAAAAAATAGTGAATATGGACGGCTTGGATGAGTACAGAATCATAGATTTAACCTTAATATTTCAACAAAACATGATATAATTCCACCCTTCTCAGTTTCAGGTCATGGAATCGGGATGATTTGCAAACACTGTTTCTTAAAATCAGGCGTTTAGCTTTGACAACAAACATGTGAAATATGCGTTGCTTTTAGTGCGGTTGACACCGTTCCTAATAATTCACTTAAATAATCTCGTTAGAAAGACAAAGTCCTCCTCCCAATGTGTCGAGCTTAAAGCATCAAAGTCGTCTTTAATAAGAGCGACGTTAAAGGCCGATGATGGATTTCTGCATTGTAAAGACAAATGGTTGTATATCGACCTCGTTCAATGACTGATGGGCGGAATAGTTGACCGGGCCCATTCTTTATTTTGGTTTAACCTTTTGCTAATTCAAATGATTCAACTGTGGGGTCCTGATAACATGCCATGATGAATTGCTAAAAGAAAAGCAAAAGCAGGGAAGCTGATTTGTATTGTAAATACCGAAAGAACCTTATCATATTGGCATCCGTTTTGATAACTTAGTCCAACATTTTAAGTAACCATAATGCGTTTTATGTTTGGAATCGTTTCAGGAAAGGGGCAAAAGAAGAGTAAACTTTAATCATATTAATTACTTTGTGGATATGGCATCATTGGAAAGCAGTGAAATCCATGGGCTGAACAGCAGAGCGTGTACCAGGATGAATGAATAAGATATTGGTGGGAGCATCTCTTTCACTTAAATGTCTGCCACTCGCAACGTTTCATCCGAGTCTATCAAAGAGAATAGGCTTGTGACCTGTAGCCAGAAAGAGATCAAAGAATAGAATGTTATTCCCTTGGAGGACGCAAAAGGCCGAGCATACGAGGACAAAGTGAGAGCAGCCGACAGAGCTTTGGGTTCGAATTTGGGAAATCAGTCCAAAACACATATGTGGAGTTTCAACTTCTAACGCTCAGGGATGAGGAGCAAGAGAGGGATGGGAGAAAAAGTTGTTTGGGGTTGAAAGAGAAAGCAAAATTCAAAGCGAGACAAGGCCGATGAAGTAATCAATTGACGTGGACAAGGGACCCTCCCCTCCTCCATGGTTAATTATTACTACTGCTGGATTTACAAATGACGCAGAGTCAAAAATGCTTGATTAGTGCACGGGGCTCTTTTTTCCTTTGATCAACTACTATGACATTTATAATTAGGTTTAATTAGCAAGATCAAAGGGTGGAAGGTAGATGCTCTATTAACAAAATAAAAGGAACAGAAAAAGCTCCCAAAAGATCAGACTTTATGCACATAATTCAGCTCGGATTCCCACTCAAATGAGATCTGTTCTCAAATTAATGTCAATTGGCATACAATCAACGGGAGTGATAATGTACTATTTTTTAATGGTAAATTGTTATTATTATCTTTAAGTTGACGTAGTTAGGTTAAATCAAGATACTACTAATAAATATATGCTCATATGATAATGTGCCAAAGGAGATATTTTAGAAAAAAATATTAAAAGCCAATGATTGTAGTTAAGCGAAACCAAAAGTTATACCCTAAGAAAACTTGGAACGATAAAGCAGATAGGTTTGGAGGGGCGGGACAATAATAGATGCGGACCAACGCGAAGATGATAACAAGTCACGAAAAAAAGGAATATGAAATTTCATACACAAAATAATAATAATAATAATAATAATAAGGTGCAATTTGTCAATTGTCATGATGAAGGGGGCTTTTCCCTTTCGGTTTAATTGAGAGGGGCAATTTACTTTTACAGAAAGCTGACAAATTTTACCACGCTTGAGACTGCGAGGCAGCAATTAATAAACTCTCCCATAATTAAAAAGAAAATCCTAACAATTTTAAATAACAAAAAATGCCCACATCAAATTACTTGTATTTTTAAGTTCTTTGTTTCCCATTTTTTAAATATTAACATTTAATAGTACTAGATTATAAATTAACATTAAATAAAAAAAGAAATTTGGCTATTTGTAATTAGAGAATTTGACATGATAGATTCTAAACAACTTGATCTGAGTTTTTTTCTTAAATAATAAAAGTAAAAAATAAACAAAAATGATCCTTACAAAAAAAATCCCTAGTATATCTCAATTCTTAATCTGCCATCATTAGCGCACATCACCATGTCTTTCAAGAAAATTTGCTAGGATGAAGCAGTGTAATTCTAGTCAATTCTAAGCAAACAATCATATATTTGTAAGATTCAGAAATCGAGTAAGTAAAACAAAATAAGAGAAATACGTGCTGTGTTTTAGAAAATGAGAATGTTTGTATGCTGATGTATCATTAAATATTTTTAGAATATATGTGAAGGTAATGGAAAGTGGACTTGATATACACACACTTCTCCCGTCTTTAATATAGGACCTAATTATTGAGTTGGTTTTGATCCTAAATATAAGACTTATTTCTCATATTTATCATTTTTCTCTAAATTATCTCTATGGATATTCCCTTCACTATAATCAAATAGAAGAGAGAGAGAGAGAGGTATTAAGAAAGATGATTATGGTGTTTTAGGAAAAATGTGTCACATTTCTTATAATTATTTAACTTACCTAAGTTCTTTAATCTAATCAAATTAGTTAAATAGGTTTTATATTAAGCACCAAAAAAGTAAGAGATATATTTCAAATTGAAGAAATCCCCAATAATGAATCATTGTAGATTGCTGCGTGGGTAAATGAGATGCATAAAATGAAAGTGTTGGCGAAAAAGATTGTTCCAGGCTTAATAACGGACAGCATTGCGTCCTCCTCTTGATCATCTTATTTGGCTTTTGCTCTGCCAATCGGATCAAAAATACAAAAAAAAAATGTTTTCAATGATAATTTCATAATGAAACGACATGGATTAATTTGCAGCAGATGATTTCACGTCACCTCACTGCATAATCATTCTTTGTTTTTTAAAATTTCATTTTTACATGTACCCCGAGTTTACTACAAAATTTGATAGTAAAATCATTAAACAAATTATTTGGATTTAGCCCAAATACCCAAAAGCAAACCCGTCCAGATATCTATTGGCTCTAATTTTCAGCTGGGCCTGGGTTCTAAGAGAATAAAAGAACTGTTTTCGGAGGCCCAAGAGCAGTTTCGTTGTAAAACAAAGTCAATTCACACGTCAGAGGGTGGAATTAAAAAAGAGGGGAATTTATTTAGTTTAGGGTTGAAGTGTGGCAGTCGGCGGCAACGTCAAAATTTTAGACTTCCTCCGGTCTTTGCGGGAGTAACAACGGCTGAATGAAGCGGGCCGGTGGCTGTTGCCCGCGCCATTGGAAATTAGACCGTTTGACCCCGCCAGCTTCCCAGCCATTTCTGCCGCGTGTGTGTGTGTGTCCCCGTCACCATTAGTATCGCCCACGCTACTGATGAAAGCACCCAGATCTTTCCAACATCTTCCTAGCGCGGCATACTGTAAAAACTAATTAATTAACTTGAAAAAATTTAAAAAAATTAGTTAAGTTAGTTATTTATAATAAATATATATTATTTTTTTAAAATATTCTTGTTAATTAAATGCATTAATTAGAACTATCATTATAAGGACTACTTTAAAAAAATAAATAAATATAAAAAATAAAATAGATTAAAATTTTATATTTAAAATCAAAATAAAAATCAAATAAAAACAAAAGAACAGGATCAATATATTTTCCTACTACTTTTCTAACTCTAAATATGAGACTATTTTATAATGTAAATTATATTATAAAATAGATTTTATATTTAGTAGAGAAGAGAGTATTTTGTAAATGTTGACTTATGTCTGTTGTGGATTCCCGTTCAGTCAATCGACAGAATCCGTAAATTTTACTCTCCCTTTCATTGGCCACCGGGTACTCTCTTTGCGGGTCCAAGATCAAATATGCTCCCTCCGTTTCTTTACATCAAAATACTTTTCTAGTTCTTAATATAGGACTTAATTGTTGAGTTAGTTTTGGTCCTAAATCTAAGACCCATTTTTCATATTTATCAATTTTCTTATAATTAACTAACTTACCTAACTTCCTTAATCTAATCAAATTAGTTAAATGGGTCTTATATTAAGGACCGGAGGAGTATTAATTAAAATTAGTTAAAAGATAATAAATATGTATAAATTTAAAATTATTTTTTAAAAATATGTATAAGAGAGATAATAAGAAAATTATTATAAAGAGCGTTATAGAAAGAGAGAATGTGTAATGGAGAGATGTAGTTTAGAAAATAAGATAATAACTATATTAGATATTAAAATAAGTAATTAATAAGAATAAAATAAAAAATTTGTTATAAAAATCTAAGATAACTTGTAAATACTAGTATTATTTTTATTTAAGAACAAGAAAAGACAATAATTATTGTTTATAAAATAGAACAGAAGGAGTACCTCGAAACGGGAACAAACCTCGTAGGTTGCCTTGGGGACCAATAGAGAATATATTGTTTGGTGGCATGAAAATTTAGATAAACGACTATAAGGAGGAAAGCACTGATTGTCCCCAGTGAAATACATGTTAGTTTAAATTTTCGGCCCAAAAAAAAACTCATTTTTAATTTAATTTCTAGAAACATAAAATTGAGTAAAAGATAATATGATTTATATTTGGATTAATTTTTATAAAAGTTATTTTGATTATGATTGGATAAGTAAAATGAGTTTATA